TCAAGTGGATTTTCGAAAAGACAGTCGTACCTTTCAAGGTAGCTGTCAAATCGTGAATGTGAGGCAACGGGTAACGATCGGGAATGGTTTTTGCATTCAAACGCCGATAGTCTCCAGTTGGACGCCAATCGTTGCTGTCCGTACCGATGATTGGTATAGAATTATCTACAACAACGAAAATCCAGTGAATGGGTTTGCGTAAACCCACGTTAAGTTAGACGTACATTTTACCACATGTGGCGATCGGCTTTCCATTTGCTGCCTGTAAGTTTGAAACAGATTCGTGAAGCAGGTCGTTAGAATTTGTTCGAAGAACACAAACGTCTGCGCCAGTGTCGACGAGGTGGCGAACCTTCGTGATCATAACAGACGGCTATGTCCGCCTACTGCGGTTTCCGTTAACGGGTGCCACCTGGGAAGTTTCCCGAATTGTTCTTCTTGACGGTGGATAATTGCAGGGTTTTCTGTACTTTCTGGAAGATTTTCCATAATGGTTGTGACACCAGCACTGGTCTGGGTTATCCGTCTCTCGTGGTCTGGAAACAGATCGACTACGGGTATGTAACCGTTTGCGTTCACTGCGAAATCTAAAATAAAATTTAAGCGCACGACATAACTCCGTAATGTCAGTTAGGGTCGTTTGAGGTTTTTCTTTGACTGAAAAGACCCCGGCATTAGAAGATTTCGTGATTTCTAGGATGAGATAGGCAGATGCAGCCAGCTCGTCTACGGCGTTATTTGAAGGGAGACAAGTACTGCTTGCACGTGTTGAGGAAGTTTAAACAAGAAAAGTTGTCTGAATAGGCCATCATCGAAAGTTCTTTTGTTGACAACTTCTTTTATTCTTAGCAATAAATCTGTCGCAGAACCATGTTGCAAGTCAATATTATCAAGGAGTTAATCTAAACTTTGTCGATCGATTAGATCTCAGCTGATGAGAATGGACTCTTTCAGAGTTTCGTACGGTCCCGAAACATCACTAGTAAACATACTAGGTGTGAAGTACCTGTCAAATTCGCGCGGCAGTGCCTTTAAAACTGCGAGAAGTTGTGCTCGTGAATCAGTCATGCCGTGCTCATAGAAGTCGGCTTCTGTGTAGCAGAACCAGGCCTTGATGTTGTCTGGTCAGAAGGGCATCAGGTGAAACGAAGGTGGGAACATATTCTTTAACTTAAGTACCCTGGGTGTCTGTTCCGTCCGAGCGAAATATCAACTGCGAGAATGAACGAGGAAAAAATACCCACTAAGGGTTGACAGTAAGTATTTATGATAATAAATACAGCAAATGTTATTATTTATGTAAACATTTTGGGATAATTAACAAAAAACAAACATGTGTTATATCATACGTTCCGAAATTATTAAAAATAAACTATTTCCTGAATATTTACAAGTAGTATGAAGCATTAGAAAAGAAATGAGAGAACAAGTACAGATAATAAGAACGAACCTAACGACTCATTTGATTTGCAGAACTTTTAGTCATCAGAATTCAAACTGAAAAATATAAGACCTTCCTTATCTAAGCCTCACATTAATAACCAATTGTAGTATTTAATTGGGTAAACGTTTTTCATAACATTTTGGTAATTTTAGTATTAATAAGCCAAGCATCGTAATATACAAAGATTGTTCTTTAACCGTTTCAATGTATCATTCTCATCCCTTAAAGTTCAGTTGGCCGAATCACTCTCGATAGTGAACGAAAATGTCAGCGATTGAGCAAAAAACGTTCATTTGTGAAGATATGGGAAGTAAAAACACTGTATATAAAATAAGGAGGATTTGACTTTTTCCAAGTTTACCGTTGAACTAATTTTTAAAAGAATCACACCTTTTATTGCCGTTATTTGGAAAATGATTCTTAAAATTCAATTGTTTACGTTATCACCAATGGAACGTCAAGAATAGTTTTTTTCTGATCAAACAAACAGAAATCAATTGTTTTGCCTAATGTAATCATATTCGGATGAGCATCTGATAAAGCGATGTTACTGAAATGCAGAACAATCTATTTAAAGATGACTGCCTCATTTCGGACGAATTTAAAATCAAACTAAAACTATTATGCAAAGAATGAAAAGTCAAAATTTTAGAATGAATTGAAGTTATTTCATTTGGTGTACTCTAAACTGACGTTAATATTAATTTGCAATAAGTAGCATATTTTACAAATGTAATTTTAAAATACTAAAGAACCTCATCGTGAAAATTAAAACAACACACACAAGCGAACAATATTGTTTTCCATCAATAGGTTTTATTCTAATAAACATGAATATTTATGTGAGTGAATGACAATATTAAATCATTCAAGGCTATTTGAGTCAGTGACCACAATGGAACAGACTATGTAAATATACACAATAGGTAAAATACTTATAGTAAAAGCTATAAGGATTCGGACCAACAGTTTGTAATTTTAGAGGAAGTATATGACACTAGCCAACCTCCTTAGGCCTCATATGACTTAAAAAACAACTCCACTAACTTTTTTCACATCCCGTACTTATCGTTTTCCAAATTCCTTTCATATTCATCACTGTCTGAATATTTAGTTTCTATTGAGCAATCTTAATAATTTTAGTGACTTTTACTTTGAAATCTACCTAACGAAGTTTGACTTAGTTCCAATTCTTAACTACTGTGTAGTCATGTTATATTTCATTTTGATCACTGACTCAAATAGTCTTGAACAGTTTAGTATTTTTTATCCACTCATAAATAAGTATCCATGTCTATTAGAGTAAAGCCTAATGATGATCTGGATGAAAATAATATTGTTCGCTTACGTGCGTTGGTCAAATGTAATTCTTTTGTGTAACACGTAGAAGGTGATTTAGTATATTATTAAAAAGAAATTACAATTGTTTTGCACAACTGATGTAACCATTCAAGTACATATGCGTACTCAGAATTCCTATACCAATTTTAACTAATATGATTAATCAGTGCTTATGTAGGAACTTCAACAACACATTCTGTGATAATTGTGTAGTGAACAAGAATAGGAGTGGGGACAATCGAATGTATTACAGAATATCTCACTAAAATCTGAGAACCCTATAGTAAATAGTTAGTTTGCAAAATAACAATTCATCGTATCAAACTTGACTATTCCTTTTGCAAATATCAGTTGATTGTCTCATATTTCATTCTTCATGCATTTTCACACCAATTGAGTTTCGATTCCGTTCTTTCCTTATCGATCTTCTAGTGAAATACATTCTATGCCTGACCATCGTTACATATTACTTATATGGATATAAGTAACCCACATCACATTTGCTGTTCTTCAGTTACAAAGATTTATCACGGAGAACTAATTTTGTAAAACTGTACTTATAAATACACCCTGATGAACTAATTGAAGAGCTTGACTATTATTATGAAGAAAGAAACCCTATATCTCTTGATTTTTTAATGAGATATGCTTTGAAAAGTGCTATAAGATCCTCATTAAGGGCTTAAATGGAGGGAGTGACTCATAATGATTACAGTTGAAGGTATGTTGTCAGTTATTTACGCTAATATTAACGTGAAGTGATTGTGAGAAAATTCCAATGGTACACGATCAGACATAGGAAACATAAATGCAGGATGTACAAATTTATCTTCACTCTTTAAATTCATGAGAATATTTCCCAAGGTGTTGTACAAGTTCTTCTAATCTGAAAGTGTGCATTAGAAACGATAATTTTACAAATCATCAAATATTTAAAACATAGCTTAACATTCTTCAATCTTAACAAATATGGGATCTTCAGCATACATTAATGATCATAAAGTTTTACAATAGCCAGTCAGAAAGCTTTCCCTTCATTCTACGATATAAGATCACTATGCTGGATATGTGCATAGTACACTGCATTCACAGAATCAGTCTAAAGTTTAAGCAAATCTACTTCCAAACAGTCGAACAAATGGAAATTATTAGGAAAAGGAGATAACGATTTGGAACGACAATTGAAAGTTAAGGTGGCTAAATGATACACATGAAGTAGTGTTATTCACCAGAAATTTTGAGGCTTCAACGTTGTAGCGAAATCCAAACTATCATGAGTTATTAAAAATTCAGGGAATTATCCTTAATGCATGGTTTCGATGTTTAGTCAATACACTAGTATACCGTTTCTCTTTCTTCATGATTTAGTTAAAAGAATTATCACTGACTCATATCGTGAAAGTTTAGCTTTTTTCTGGACAAATAATTTCGCTTTAGATTTCAATTCTGGACTGTTTAGTTACGAGTTTATATATTTATCTTATTTGAACACATAAATATTGGTACAAGGGGGTACCAGATATATATGCGCCACACAAAAAACCGTCATTTGATTTAATTGTGTGAAGACTATGATACTGCCCGGGTGCCCAAACTGAAGCAGGTGGTTTTCTTAGGGGGCCACACCCGGAGCCTTTGACCTAAATATCTGATCCACAAGGCAGTTGAGCATCGTGAGGAAATGCAGTCCCATGGTAGCCGGAGACCAACAATAGGTTCATATGCCATTCGTTCCATCAGGATACTGGAGCCCATATGCACTATTGGTTTGGAATCAGGGTTTTCCAACTCCCCTAGGTGGACTTTCCATGTCCACCAACCCGGTTAAGATTCCGGACATTCGTTTTTCGTCCTCTCAATTTCGTAAGCAGTAATGCCACGAGAAAGCAGTGAGTAGGACTTCCCTGGCAGAGGCTGTATAAGCGTGGGCGTGTGAGAGCATTTTGAGAAAGGGCGAACCCTCCCCACTTTTGGCCGTACTAGGGTATTTGGGAGCTTATCAACTGGATACTTTTTAGCAGTTTAAAGATCCCCACAGAATATTCCAAAAATGAACGATATTTGAGCGAATAATTGTTTTTAATAAATTCTGAGTGAAATTGAAAAGACTCGTTTATTGGGATCTACATAGTGAACATCGGTCGTCGGGTAAAATCATGAAACTCTTGAACAGTCGAGTTATACACTCGATAAAGTGTGCTTCCATATGATTTTGCAGGTATAAATGTCTCAGCCAGCATAACCTTGGTCAAGAATTTTTTATCCAGACGATAACACTATAAATTATTTGTAGTTGTGGATCTATTGCTGATTTTCTTTGACGGATTCGCAGATCTGTTTTCTCTTATATTAGATTCTGGAACTAAACATGACCGAAAATTCAAATCACGAGTAAGATGAAATGGACGCTAGACATTTCCTGTGAAGATTAGATGTAAATCCTCTTCGTCACTTTACAACCCAGAAACAACTTTGAAACAGTTTACTAATTTATTTATTTATTTTAAAATGCCAGTCACATAACTCAGATCTGTAAACAATTTTAATGCCATAAATGGATAACACCAAACCACTTTATGACAAGTTCACTAAACAACAATCAAAAAATTAACGGAGACAAAAACTATAGTAATAAGTTTATATTCCTTCTCTTATCGATTGTATGGTTGCAGTACACCATTTTCGTTGTTATTTGATCTCTGTAACATCTGTGAATGAGGTAGGATCAAATGATTTATCTAGCATAAAAGATGTAATCAAGTTGGTCACTGTATTTGGAGCATCAAAGTGAACCCAATGACCAGTGTTAGCTATTTGAACAATTTTTGATTGAGGGAAATACTTGCGTACAGCTGGTAAATCTGATTGTCTGAATATTGTAAAGAACAACGATATGAAAAGAAAATTTAATGAAACATCAACAATACTGACAGTTAAATATTGTCTTTATGTAGCACTTAATATGCTACTTATTTGACAAACACAATGTATATACTTGAATATAGGCCATATTATAAGTAAATATCAGTGTTAATACCCTGTTTGAACATTTAAGTGGTATTCTGGCCTTTACAAAAATATGTAAATAACTTACTGTGATTATGGTATATATATTCATATGACCAAGCCCAAAAAACTAATTGGTGTAAAGTGTTTGCATGGTATCAGTAGAGGTATTTGAATTGAAACACTAGGTAAACCAAACAAAGTAACTAGATTCACAAAAAGAGGAAAAGAATCCTAGATAATAACCTCAGTAAGACAGTTCACGTAGACGGAATTCATAAACACAAACAAAAAGAGAAATATCGTTGTTTGTTATTTCCCCTTGAAAAGTTACCGTTATGAGGTTAAGTTAAAAGACGAAGTATTTGTAGATTTCAATGACCAAAGTGATTCTCTTTTGTAACTATCACGAGGATTTACATATAATGTAGCACTTCCAACTCATCCGAGACACGGGCAGCAAGAAGTCTGGTGTGAGTGAAGCAATCTACGAGGATGACGGGATGCCAATCACTAACATCTCTCGACGTCTTGGACGACGGGCTGAATTTTTCGAAGGGCAGTTCAACTGGCCTGCTGCTCCGGCAACATCCACCAGTTTGTCCTGCCCCCCATGGCCTGTGACGACTGATCCACCAAACGAGGCGGAAGTCCGTAAAGAAACTCCAACTCTTGAAACGTTACAAATCACCTGGCCCAGATGACTTACCTCCGACTCTTTTTAAAGATGGTAGTGACTTTCTGGCTAAGGAACTGACTGCGTTGTTTGCAAAGGTTTGGGAGGACGAAAGTGTTCCGACATCATGGAATCAGTCGATAGTCGTCCCTATCTTTAAAAAGGGTTCACGTAGTTTCTGCAATAACTATCGGGAGATAAGTCTACTTTCGATTGCGTCCAAACTATTGGCTTCTGTCATTCTTCGTAGGTTGTTTAAAACCCGAGAACGATTGACTCGCGAGGAGCAGGCTGGTTTTCGTTCTGGTCGAGGATGCATTGATCACATCTTCACCCTCCGCCAAATGTTAGAACACCATCATACTTATCGCAGGCCAACAATCGTAATGTTTCTTGATATCAGGGCGTCCTTCGATTCGTTGGACAGGACTGTTCTCTGGGATTGTCTATTGAAGAAGGGTGTACCTGAGAAGTTCATTAACATCTTAAAGGCCCTGTATACGAACACCTCAGGCAGAGTGAGGGCATACAACCACCTTTCTCCCTTGTTCCATTCGAGCAGTGGGGTTAGGCAGGGTTGCCCGATCTCACCATTCCTCTTCAACTTTGCCATCGATGACATCCTGGAAACAGCTCTGATGGATGTAAGTAATGGCTGTGTGGATATGTTGTCTGGAGAACGACTTCTCGACCTTGAGTACGCGGATGATATTGTCTTACTGTGCGATAATACCCAAGGCATGCTATCCGCACTTAATCAGTTGGCAATCAGTGTCCGCAGGTACGGCATGTGCTTTGCACCGTCGAAGTGCAAGGTACTCCTACAAGACTGGCAGAATTCTTATCCTGTACTCACCCTGGGTGGTGAGGAGATTAAAGTAGTCGAGAAGTTCGTGTATCTAGGTAGCTATATAAGTGCTGGTGGTGGCGTGAGTGGTGCGATCGATGCACGTATAATGAAAGCCAGAGCGGCTTATGCCAATCTGGGCCATCTTAGGCACCTTCGTGATGTTAGTCTGGCTGTAAAAGGTCGGATCTACAACGCGTCGGTGAGAGCAGCTTTGCTCTGTGCTTGTGAAACCTGGCCTCTCCGAGTTGAGGATGTTAGACGTCTCTCTGTGTTCGATCATCACTGTCTCCGAAGGATTGCTGACATCCAGTGGCACCACCATGTTAGTAATGCAGAGGTTCGGCATCGTGTGTTCGGGCGCAGGGATGATAATTCAATTGGTGTCACCATCTTGAAACACCGACTTCGGTGGCTTGGACATGTTTTACGCATGTCGTCCCAGAGACTTCCACGTCGTGCATTATTTGCCGACCCTGGGACTGGTTGGAAAAAGCGGAGAGGAGGTCAGTGTATGACATGGTGTCGTGGCATGAAAGAAAGCTGCAAAGGGCTAGCTTCTGTTGGTTCTTCACGACTCTCTGGCTGGGGTTCGAGAGATGGTGCAACACAGTGGCTAGAGACGTTATCAGATATGGCTCAGAATAGAAGCCAGTGGCGATCCTGCTGCAACCTTCCTTTACTTTCTACATAAAGAGTGGCTATAACTTTCCTAACTGAGAGAGCTCTTCTGGTTGTACATTCAGTTCCCCCCATCATTACTCTTCTCCTTTTCTTTTTTTTCCTTCTTTTATATATAGGCATCTTCCTCCTTTTCCCATTCTCATTATTTTGTGTGGCGCATATGTATCCGGTGCCCTTTGTACCAATATATATGTGATTAAATAAATAAAATAAATAAAAACTATTTACTGAAACAATCATAATTGTAATTTTCTAATTCTTATATCGAGAAATAAAACAACAAATTAGTCTAGCCAACCATCATTATTAAAAGCAATCATTAAGACTTGGTATATGGGACGGTTACAATATTTTCGTTATCCAATTCATTAGTCATATCTGTTCAAACTTTTGACAATATAGAAGGATTAAGGTCAATAACTCAAATAAAATACAGAAACTGAATAATAGAGTGCTAATTGTTAAAATTATTATTCGTCCGCAAGGAAAACTAACAGCCTCAGGATGTCATAGCCGATACTTGGTTTACTCTAACAGTTTAACTGACCATCCCACTAATTAAATCTATCTTTTAATTAGGTGAATACAACTATCAATTATAACGCATATTGAAGACGCTTTATGCATATTCTAAAACTCATCATAATATCGGAGATTCTGATAAAGATTTTTATGACTTATGTTTAACAATTTATGGATAGAAACAGAGCTATAGATCTCGACAAATATATGATGGATTCGTCTTGTATTGTTTTACTATTCATACTTCTTGTACGAAGATATGAAACGATACCTCTAATTAGTTTCCAACTGAGTGAGTGAATGAGATATATAGAATACAAAATAAAAAAGTTGTAGTGATTTGGATATAATGAAGTAGCCAGCAACTTGTCCGATGTACACTAGCATCACGATCTACGTTGATGACAGACTGACTGACCAAAACGGGAAATTATCTTTCCTTGTGTGCTATGTTAACTAACATTGGATCGATCCTTAAGTAATAAAAGTAATGTAAACTTCTATAACAAAGTAGACATTCATGAACTCTAACCTAAACAAAAGTTCATGTATGACCAACCATAAGTGATGCTACTCTACTACTCAAAAATCCGTAAACAATATCAGTAGATTGTGATATCACGTACATAAAATGAAACATACAAGCCTAAATGTTTAAAAACTCTAATGTAGTGGACAAAACACGGTTGGGGACAATCGAATGTATTTAAGCACAAATTACAGACTATCTCACTAAATTCTGATAACCATACAGCAAATAGTTAATTTGCAAAATAACAATCAATTGTTTCAATCTTGACTGTTCCTTCTGTAAATATCAGTTAATCTTCTCTAATTTCATTGTTCATGCATTTTCCTGCCAATTGCGTTTCATTTCAGTTCTTTCCTTATCGGTCTTCCGCGAAAATACATTCTATGTCTGAAAATCACCATATACTACTTATATGGATATAAGTAGACCACATCACAATAATACAAAATATCGTGAGTCTAAAAGTTGAAGATATCTATGCTGCTCAAAAATGATGAGTAAAGTACGATAAATGTCATGTAACAAAACCAAAGTTTCGTAGACTTCAATAAGAAAATAAGTCCAAATATGATTAGGATTTACAATTTCCTCCTCAATCAATAGCAAACAAAGTAACTAACAAATACCCAATTACGTTTTGTGGGACACGAAAACTTGAGTTTGTGGTGATACATAATTCAGTTCAAAAAATATAGTCAGTTGAAAGAGTAAATTTTGTTCAGCAAATTTAGCTTTAATGTAGTAAAATAAAAATCATCTGCATACTTTTCAGTGGACTTTAGTAGGTTACTTGTTATTTACATTGATTTATTGAATATACCGATTAAAAAACATACGACAAAATTCAAATCAAGTAGTTGGATAGTTTGTGGAGACTAGTCCAAGCTGAAAATATTTCGTGATCATTGATTGATATCAGGTAGAGAACAATTGAATACCAAAAATTACAGGACAGCTCTTCGGTTTTATTTTTGAGCTCCTGAACAATAAGCCCCTTCCCCAACTTCATATGAGATGGAATAGAAAACTTTTAGATATGGCAACGAATATTTAACCTTTAAACACTGAATTACGATCTAATAATATACATTCCAAACTTCAGTCAACTTAAGATATGGTCTGATGATCATCTGACACCATACACAGTATGGTTAAAGTCTATTAGTTACGACTTTTCACTAGAATTTCGGGAAAGGATCAAGATCTCAAACAAGGATACAATATAAGACAGTGTTAACTGTACGAATATGCTGGAGCGGTGGCCTAGTGGTTAATACATTCGATTTTCGGCTTCAGGTTTGAGCCCCCCCCCCACACTCCGCCTACTTTGGTATGAGTAACTGGATAGTATTATTGGACCGACCACTTGGATTATAACTAATACCCATGTACTTGATAAATGAGTTATTTAAACTAAAGATTATATAAACATATGTCAAGTAACATTACGACTCAGTTATTTTTAGATTTTCTTCACAGCATTAGCCTATATAAAGCATCACCCCAAAATATAATTTTATCAAAAAGAACATTTCTATTTAATATTAAATCATTGATGTTCACTTTAATACAAGGATGCGTTGTCAGTCGAAAAATCAATTATTCGTCAAGAAATATTTACTACAATTTAGAAAAGTCTTCACGGAAAGCTATATTTTTAAAAATCTATAATAGGCTATTACAAGCAGGTTAAGAAGACTTACCCTAAATACTTTCCATCGCTTGCTGCAACGAACAGCACAGGTTGATTGAAAACAAGACCCTTCAATTCGGTAGGAAAGCCTGTTATCTGATTCCAACAACTTTTAATTGCATTAAGATTCGCTTTCCAAAATATTTCTCCATCTTTTTCTCCAAGATTTGTTAGAAGAAACGCACGCATTGTAGGATTCTACTAGAAATAAACCCCAAAAATTTAATGATTTATCTTAAATTATGACATTCAATTCGAAAATTGCTGTTTATCAAGAAAAAATTTCTGAATATTAATATACAAGAGACAGAAAGGTGCTAATTAAAAAAGAAGTATAATGAGGGAATCAAATGAACATGAATTTTTATTGTAGATTGAATGATTTATGGACAACTCTAGACCTTGGTCTTACATGTGATACTGAATACCAACAAATACAAAACCAGGTCACAATTTTCTCCTCACTACATATACATTAAATATCAAATATGACACACTGCTATATTAAGTGACCTACACTTGACAAGGTCGTATAAACACGATAAATAGAGTATATTTGATAATAACGATCATTATGATGTTAGTTGCTATTAGATGGTTTATAAATAAGAAACGTTAAGTGTTTTAAGGTTCGTAATAATAAATCAATATCTTCCGCCACAAGTTGAGGCAATACTAAACGAATGAACTTCCGTCAACACAATTTAGCCGACAGACGAGAAAATTCAATCACAGTAAGAAACTGAGTTAACAAACGATGAATTCTGTTATCCCTGTGGCTAAATAAATAGCACACAGGACAAAATCAAGTTTTCCATACCAATTTTGATAATCTCATCAAAACACATTCAATTATTTATTTATTTATTATTTATTTAAACACATATATATTGGTACAAAAGGGCACCAGATACATATGCGCCACACAAAATAATGAAAGTAGGAAGAGAAGGGATGAAAAGATAAGGCGGACTGAAATGTACAACCAGAAGACTCTTTCAGTTAGGAAAGTTAGAACCATTCTTTATGTAGAAAGTAAAAGAAGGTTGCAGCAGGATCGCCACTGGCTTCTATTCTGAGTCATATCTGATAACATCTCTAGCCACTGTGTTGCACCATCTCTCGAACCCCAGCCAGAGAGTCGTGAAGAACCAACAGAAGCTAGCCCTTTGCAGCTTTCTTTCATGCCACGACACCATGTCATACACTGACCTCCTCTCCGCTTTTTCCAACCAGTCCCAGGGTCGGCAAATAATGCACGACGTGGAAGTCTCTGGGACGACATGCGTAAAACATGTCCAAGCCACCGAAGTCGGTGTTTCAAGATGGTGACACCAATTGAATTATCATCCCTGCGCCCGAACACACGATGCCAAACCTCTGCATCGTGTGTTATGGTGGAAATTATAGACTTATATGTGCCGGTTGGATGTGTAGGCACAAAGGAAGGTCATATTAATGGCTAACGACGGCTTGTTGGCTGCATTTCAAATGAAGTTAATCGTATTTTAGAGATGCAAACAGATTACAGTCTGGTTATTTGCAGTTCCAACTTACGACAAAGATATTGCTGATGTGAAACATACAGTCTTCACTTTGCAAATCAAAATGGGCTCTAGTAAATCACATTCCAATCAAAAATCAATTGTCCTGATGAATACAAGCCTTGAGTTTCTTTTAGACCAGTTATCTGGATACTAGCTATGATTTGCTATGCACCAAACTCATCTTACATTTATCAGGTCAGCACATTTGTACTCTTACATAAATTTACTGAAGCAAATCAGTCGCAATCCCATAATTAATAGAGCCGGGTTTGACGCTGGCTGCTATTCAACTGGAAAAGGTAGGTGATGATTGAGTGAACTCACAAGACACTGTGCAAAACGTGAGTAAAGTTCACTTCAGCTCTGTAGATTCTTTCTGTCTCAAAATGTAAGCTGTCTTTAGAATAATTTGTACACATATCAATCAGAAACCTTAAATTACAATTTGGGAAATGGGCATATCAATATGAAAGACGGTTCAGTTCCCTCGGCATGCATAAAGCGCATCTTTTGTGATTATGTAGGGTATGGAAAAGTAGAAGAGTTTACAACATGACGAGAAGCATACAGATAAGGGTTTGAGAAACAACTGAACTGGAGAACAAAATAACCCTAAAACAAGAACTATTATGGTGCCACAAAGAACGAACAAGAAATCCAAGTGGAGCTCTAAGTTGGATCATCTACCGAAAACCAATGCACTCAAATTTTTATATCGACTTCAATTCAGTCAGTGTAAAAATCTCTCTAGCCCTAAATCTCTTTGGAAGAGCAAACAAGATTATTACATCCGAAGAGAACAAACAAAAAGAACGAAAGCATATGATTAACATAGGCCGCTCACCAGCATTCTCCATCCAACTCTGTCCTGAGCCTTCCTTTCCAGTTCTTTCCAGTTACTATTCAGCCTTTTCATATCGGCTTCTATTTCCCGGCGTAGTGTGTTCTTTGGCCTTCCTCTTTTCCGCTTCCCTTCCGGATTCCAAGTTAGGGATTGAGTCGTGATGCACATTGGTGATTTCCTTAATGTATGTCCGATCCACTTCCAACGTCTTTTCCTAATTTCCTCTTCAGCTGGAAGCTGGTTTGTCCTCTCCCATAAAACGCTGTTGCTGATAGTATCCGGCCAGTGGATGTTGAGTATTTTGCGTAGACAACTATTTATAAATACTTGTACCTTCCTGATGATGGCCGTAGTAGTTCTCTACGTTTCAGCTCCATACAGTAGGACTGTCTTGACGTTCGTATTAAAGATTCTGATCTTGAAATTGGTTGAGAGTTGTTTTGAGTTCCATATGTTCTTCAATTGTAGAAATGCTGCCCTTGCTTTGCCAATCCTCGCCTTTACATCTGCATCCGATTCTTCTTGTTTATCAACGATGCTCCCCAGGTACTTGAATGTTTCCACCTCTTCCAGAGTTTCGCCGTCAAGTGTGATTGGGTTGGTGTTCTCCGTGTTGCATTTGAGAATCTTGCTTTTTCCTTTGTGAATGTGGAGACCTATCGATGCGGAGGCTGCTGCTACATTTGCTGTCTTCATCTGCATTTGGTCGTGTGTATGAGAGAGGAGGGCTAGGTCATCTGCGAAGTCCAAATCATCTAATTGATTCTGAGCTGTCCATTGTATTCCGTATTTCCCTTCAGATGTCGAATTCTTCATAATCCAGTCAATCACTAGAAGGAAGAGGAATGGGGAGAGTAGACAGCCTTGTCTGACTCCGGTCCTTACTGGAAATGCACCTGTCAGCTGTCCTCCATGCACCACTTTGCACTGTAATCCATCGTATGAGTTTTGGATAATGTTGACGATCTTCTGAGGAACTCCATAGTGTCGAAGAAGTTGCCATAATGTTCTCCTGTCCACGCTGTCAAACGCCTTCTCGTAGTCAATAAAGTTGACGTATAGTGATGAGTTCCACTCAACTGATTGTTCAACGATGATCCGTAGTGTCGCAATCTGGTCTGTGCACGACCGATCCTTACGGAATCCAGCCTGATGATCCCTTAGTTCGGTGTCTGGATAAGGAAACCGCCTAATAATCCTGTAGGACTGGCAAGGCTCCAAATTAGATCGACAATAGCAGTTCATGCAATTTTCAATAACCACCAAATTGATAATAAAAATATCAAAATAATACAAAAAGGTTTTTTCAACTACAAGGAAAGGAGAGTAGCTGAAGCTTTCCATATATTAATTTATCCTACTTCCCTCAATAGAAAAGAATGCCCAAACTGAAGCAGGTTCTTACACTATTATCGCACATACAAATCCAACTCTACCCCTTCACATCACAAATGTCACATTTTTTGTCCATCAACCTGCACAAAAATACACAAACATGTCTCACATAAATCACCTTGACAGGAATGACGTGTCATTGACTTGGTCAGACATGTGTTTGAACTGATCGAACTGAAAATTTTGCCTTGTTCCTTTGTACTATTTAAACTTGGATTATTTAACTTGTTTATTTATTCTCTGAAAAACAACTTACACTGAGTGACGAAACGTCAGAAAATTTTTAAAAAGTTCACGTTTCCTATGACCAGAACGCATTAGGAATTAGATTAAGTGGTTCTGCTGAAGAGACCTACATCAAAACCGGACCATGCAAGTAGTTGAAATCCAATACCGTTTTGAGGTCAGAATTCATTTACTGATAACCGTAATACTCAGTCAGTCAGCTACAACGTAGGACCAGGCACACATATGCATCGGTTCAAGTTGCCATATCTTACTAGCACAACAAGGTGAACACCGGATTCATAGTAGTTAATTTAGTGGTGGAAATATATAAAAGAAAGGTTGTATATAAGGATATAGTATAGAAAGGAAGAAAGTTATGAAGCAATTTTAATCTCAAGGTTTAAGGGAAGACAACGAGCGTATACACCTACGCCATTGTGATCGATTCTGAGCCACGTCACCTAGAGTCCCCAACCATTGGTTACGACAGTCACGTGGTCCCCAACCAATTAGTCTGCATCTGTCAACATGGCTCAGACTAGAAGTTAGTGAATTCATGCTCTGATGCCACGTTTTGGTTTGGCCACCCCTAACTCTCTTCCAGCCATCCCCAATACTAGTCAGCATAGCGCGTCGTGGTAATACTACCGTGTAATACCACTCTTAACCGTAATATATTCGCATCCAATAGGAAGCATGTGCGCAAACATAAATAAACGTGTTGGGCCTCAGTACATTTTTCGAATACATACTCAGTTCCTGCACAGCCATATTTCTAAACGAAAAACACCAGGACTTTCTGTAACTAAGTTTCTTCTTCAAAAATTCAACGAGTGGTAATCACTAGATTTTGAACACGTGCTGGTGAATCATAAAAGAACCAACTTGGTTATCAAAACTACTAAGTGGAAGTTTTCTACTTACCGGGATTGTTTTATCCCATTCTTTCATCAATGAATTACGGACCATTCCTATATTCCCATTACATTTGTGTCCCAAAGCTTTCAAATCCACAGAAGACATTAGATTTATTATAGGAGAAAGAGATTGTATGGTAGGCTTTGGTGTCGTGGATATGTCAAAAACAACCAACTTATTATACCTTTCTGGCTGGCTAATAATCATTTAAAAGATAATTACTTTCATTAGAGCTGCGCACATAACCGCTTTTCCACCCATACTATGCCCAACCAAACATACGTTCCGCAGGCGGAGGTCATCTACAACCATGTGTATATCTTCAGCCATATTAAAATAGTTCATATAATCGGAATGTGGGCTACTTCCGTGATTACGCAAATCAACGGTCACAATCTGTGAGTGAAAGATTAGTAATCATACACCTGCAGTTCCACAGTTTTTCTGAGCAAACGCATTGGAAATACTCTTCCAATTATTCTTGGAACCTAACAAACCATGGCAAATCACCATACTAGATTTAATTGAAACATCAGCTGACTGTATGACCAAACGAGATAGCGCCACCGCCTTATTCATTTTGGCGGTGGAATGGTTCAAGTGGTTCCGGATGGAATAGAAGAAGCTTTCGCTTAACGGGCTCCCGTATCTAGTTGCAGTGGATCGCCGATATCTACAGGCAGGAACCTATGTATATTAACGATAAAAGAGGTAGAAGAAAAAAGTTGGTAAATCATTGTGAGGTACTGTTCTTAGTTCTTAAGAATATGTCAAGTTTCTTCTGAAACGACCCCTACGAAGTCGCTTGGACTACCTTGGCCAGCAGCGAATTCCAGCATTTGACTATTCTTAAGGAGTAGAAGGTAATTCTACGGTCCTTTCTGCTGCGTTATGTCTCCAGATTCTGAATGTTATTGTAGCTGTAAATAATTCCCCAAAATCAATAGTTCATTAAGTGTTCGACATTGGGTGCTGACCACGTTGTTTAAGTGGACTTGTTTAGCTGAAGGCTTTCGGTCATGCATCCGTACCAGATCACGTTTCAACACGGCGTGGGACACAGCTCCTACGTTTCATTAGCCAGCTTATAGAAAAGGTCCTCGATATATTGGTAACGAATCAAATATATCTTTCCTACCTCTTCTCGTCTGACTTCTGATTTCTATCTGACTGGGAACGATCGAATATAGAAGGTGCTATTGGTAGCTAGTTGTAAAACTAGAATATCCGTTGCATCATCATTACGCTCAAAGTTCGCATTGAGACTAAGATTAAGTAGGTGTTTAAGAGGATGCCCAGAAGTGTTTAGGATGCCGTAAATCATTATAAGGTCACCTCTAAGGCTCCCATACCCCCATGGGTAAATGTTCAGTGATTGGAGGAGCTCTTCAGGCATTTTTGTTGCAGTTAGCGTTAGATTTCGAATCGTAGGGTACAAACGCTGCTAGATCTTCTTCACCTTGGGATACCCCTAGAGGGAAGTTGCCTAACTTGTAGCTGTAATCTACAACATGTCTCAGATGGGTTACTTTACACTTGGAAGTGTTAAGAGTAAGTGTGATGTTTAAATAAATCAATGACTTCTTGGTATTGATGACTGTTGTAATTTTGAATTCCAAATACAATACATTCGTTCGAGCTCATCTGGTACTTCTTGATTAAATTGCGTTATTCCTGGGATTACTAGTTTATACTACAATTCAAATACTTCTAATCATCATATTGGCTTCGCGATGGTGTATTGGATGTAGACTCTGTATTATCTGGATTCTGGTATTGTATTTGAACAAACCAAAAGGAGTGTTAATTGTTGTCAAGATAGATGAAGATTGATCTAAAGGGATTTGAAGATAAGCATCTTTCAAGTCAACTTTCGAGAACACTTTAGAGCCATGAAGTCGATTTAGAATATCTTCAGCCTCCATCGTCGTGCATGTTTGCTTCAACAAACGGGAGTTCAGTGTTAATCTGTAATCACCGCATATTCTAGGGGTCTTGCCATCCGACTTCAATGGCGTAACAATAGGAGTACCCCATGCTGAGGACTGAACTGGTTCAATTATACCTTTCACACACAAATCATTCAGTGGCTTACGTACTGCTTCTCGAAGACCATAAGGAATTATTCGTCTTTTAAGAAAGACCGGATCACCCTGTACTTGAAGTTTTATGGGCTGAATTTTCATACCTCCACTACACTTAGCACACACAGCTATCAAATCCTTGAGTAAAGCATCAGAATTCTCTGTAGATACTAGTAGAGACAATTCCACTTTAAGCCTTTTCAGATTTCTTAAATCCAGTTGGACATTCATTCAACTTCTGAAGCTTTTGAGGATTATCTTGAAAGGTTTGAGATATGGAGCATGACCAAGAAAGATATGAAGGGTGACAAAATTGTGGCACATTTTCTTACATTCATCGGTCAAGAAGCCTACAGTTTACTAAAAACCTTGGCATATCCAGATAAGCCGATCGCACTTCCATATTCAACTCTCAAGGAATTACTATTAAATCATGTGAAGTGCACCAGTTTTGAATGTCGTGAGGGAGCAAAATTTCATAAGATGATTCGTCAGGATAACCAGAAGGTTAAGGACTTCATCTTCGAATTGCAAAGACAAGCTTCGAAATGCAATTTTGGTGATCAACTTCATGTACAGCTGAGAGATCGATTAATTGCTGGAATTAACATACCAGGTCTGGAAAAGGAGCTTTTAAGAATGCCGAACTGTTCTTTTCAAGATGCTAGAACTGCATGTATTAACTACGAAGCAGTGAATGAACTTGATATTCAATCGATGAAAATTTCTAATACTTTGCTTAGTCGTCATGATGAAATACAATCTCAGGGTCGATCAAATTTGCGTTCGTTTAATCGTGATTGCTATTTCCGTGGAAATATGAAAGGTTGTTTAACAAGGAACTGCAAAGCAAACAACAAAGGTGAGAATAAATTTGGTAAATGCTTATCTTGTGGCAGATTTCATTCTCGTAATTCATGTGCATTTCGTAATGCTAAATCTTTTAAATGTGGCAAGATAGGACACATTCAGTCAGTGTGCAAAACTACTGTTCACTTTGCTTTAAGTATTACTAAGTCCGGTAACTTAGATCCCAATAATTCGGCTGTTCTTGATGATCATTTATCTTTATACACCACTTCAAAAGGGAATGTTGATATTCAAAAGCGATTATATACATCCCTTGGTTCATTTCATGACTTTATTGTGGACACAGGTAGTATAGAGTCCATTATTTCAGTCAAGAACTTGAAATCTTTAGATCCTAATGTTGTGGTGAAACCCACTGAGGTCTCAATACTGGGGATTACTGGACACAGACTACCTATACGAGGATGTTGTAGATTGATAATAAGAAATGATAATTCTTCATACGTACCTTGTGAATTTTTAGTTAGTGAAACAGGACTGTCCATACTGCGTTTAAGAAATCTGAAAAGGCTTAAAGTGGAATTGTCTCTACTAGTATCTACAGAGAATTCTGATGCTTTACTCAAGGATTTGATAGCTGTGTGTGCTAAGTGTAGTGGAGGTATGAAAATTCAGCCCATAAAACTTCAAGTACAGGGTGATCCGGTCTTTCTTAAAAGACGAATAATTCCTTATGGTCTTCGAGAAGCAGTACGTAAGTCACTGAATGATTTGTGTGTGAAAGGTATAATTGAACCAGTTCAGTCCTCAGCATGGGGTACTCCTATTGTTACGCCATTGAAGTCGGATGGCAAGACCCCTAGAATATGCGGTGATTACAGATTAACACTGAACTATGAGAAAACGTTCGATAGCGCGAATAGAAAAACCTTATGGAAACTACTTCGACACTATGGAGTGAATAGCTGAGAAGATTGTCAACATCATACGGAGTTCATACGACAGACTACACTGCAAAGTCGTGCATGGAGGACAGCTCACAAATGCATTCGAAATAAGGACCAGTGTCAAACAAGGCTGATTACTGTCTCTCGTCCTTTCTCTTTCTTCACATGGTTGACTGGATCATTAAGACTTCCATATCTGAGGGGAAACAAGGAATACAATGGACTGCTTGGGTGTTACTAGAAGGTTTGCACTTCGCAGATTTCTCATCTCTTCTATCCCATACACACACACGAACAAATGTGGGTCACAAAAGCCAATGTAGCAACAGACTCTGCATCAGTAGGCCTCAACATACACAAAGGAAAAAGCAAGGTCCCCAACTAAAACACGGAAAGCACCAATCCAATCACACTTGATGGAGAAACTCTGGAACACGTGGAAACGTTCACTCACCTGATCAGCAGCATCATCCATGAACAAGGAGGATCTGATGCACACGTACATGAAGGGATTGGCGAACCAAGGACAGCATCCCTATAGTTGAACAACATGTGGAACTCAAAACAACTGTCAACCAATATCAAAGTCACAATCTTCAATAACAACGTCAAGACAATCCTATTGTATGGAGCTGAAGCTTCGAGAAATACCACAATCATCATCAAAAACGTACTGGTATTTCTCAACAATTGTCTACGCAGGATACTCAATGTTCGTTGTTGAACGGATACCATCACCAACAGCCTACTATGAGAGAACAAACAAGCTTGCAGCTGAGGAGGAATTTAGGAAAACACATTGGAAGTGGATAGGACATTCATTGAGGAAATCACCAAACTGAATCACGAGGCAAGCGGTAACTTGAAATCGTAAAGGGAAACGGAAAAGATGAAGACCGAAGAACACATTGCGTCGAGAGTTGGAAGCAGACATGAAAAGAATGAATAGGAACTGGAAAGGATTGCCCAGGACAGAGTTGGATGACGAGTGCTGATGGACGGCCTACGTTCCTCTACGAGGGGTGACAGTTGTAAATTAATGAGTAAAGCCCCCTGAAGAAGTGATATTATAGCCTATGGACGGACCAATGCGATTAAGTGCGTTGGATTTTGGTGCGAAATTTATTTATTCACACAGTTTAATAGCATTTTTGGATTATAGCCGACATCATGTTCCCACAAACAATGTTTTCGTGTTAAGATCCATGTTAGCTCGTAACTTTGGTGTCCATATAACCGAATCAAAAACTACTTATTTTATAAGAACGTCAGTCCGAATTATTGACCCAATTATTGAATGTCAAGTAAATACACTTTAGGGACGTGATTATCCTTTTTAAAGTAATTCTTACCTTGGACGACTTCTCGGGAAAGCGAAAACCAACAAAACGTATTATTCCGACAAAATATTCCTAAAGCCAACCTTCATGTATTAAATGCAGCGGGACGATTGAAGCGATATCACATTCGCGCACAAAATGAAGGAATGGTTCAAATGGTTTCGGATGGAATAGAAGAAGCTTTCGCTTAACGGGCTCCCGTATCTAGTTGCAGTGGATCGACGATATCTACAGGCAGGAACCTATGTATATTAACGATAAAAGAGGTAGAAGAAAAAAGTTGGTAAATCATTGTGAGGTACTGTTCTTAGTTCTTAAGAATATGTCAAGTTTCTTCTGAAACGACCCCTACGAAGTCGCTTGGACTACCTTGGCCAGCAGCGAATTCCAGCATTTGACTATTCTTAAGGAGTAGAAGGTAATTCTACGGTCCTTTCTGCTGCGTTATGTCTCCAGATTCTGAATGTTATTGTAGCTGTAAATAATTCCCCAAAATCAATAGTTCATTAAGTGTTCGACATTGGGTGCTGACCACGTTGTTTAAGTGGACTTGTTTAGCTGAAGGCTTTCGGTCATGCATCCGTACCAGATCACGTTTCAACACGGCGTGGGACACAGCTCCTACGTTTCATTAGCCAGCTTATAGAAAAGGTC